ACAGATATTAGTTTTTTCCATTTATTTTCCTCCGTGAGATTTTTAGGCAGGTGTATTAGCAAAAAAATTATTTTTTTACGGAATCATTTTCGCAAGATAATTATGGGCTAATTAGTTGCCACAAGGCTGGTTCAATGGCAGCTATATTAGTAGTATAATATTGATAATATAGATGGTACTGAGCTTGCATCTTGTACAAGGTACTCGGTAGCTTTAGTAATTCAAGAAACTAACAAAGGAAAAGAGGCAATAATACGCGGAACTATATACTTATATATACTAGTTGGATTGCACGTGCAATGCACGTGGTAAAATTTTTATCATTTATTATAAAAATTTAAATTTATTTAGGGAAAGATTTGTTATAAAATTATTGAATGTAAGCAATGAATCAAATATATAGACATAAAATAAAGTCATTGGACCTTATGCAACATCAAAACGAATAAGTTGAAATCTTTTGGATATTTGGATATAACAACTAAGAATCACCCTAATAATCTCATTGAATGAATGGGATACTTGGATTGAACATTAAATCTTTTGTGTCCTATAACAAAATAATATGACCAGCATTCAAGATAGAATACAATAGAATTGGTTCAGCAAATGCAATATGTTTTCAAGAAAATACATGTCAAGTAGCATAGACAATTATCTAGCATCGGTTAATCACTATGAAGTCAAGCTCTTCTCATGTCTTCTTAAGAGAAAGGATTGAGTCTTGAAAGAAGACCCCAACCGAGCAATACATTCTTGAAAAAAATGGGTGATTACAATCTACTTACAGATAATCGTCAAAATCCCCAACCAAAGAATAAAATGAAGAGTATCTCTCATTACATCACACCAAAAAAAACATAAAATTCCCTAGCTGTATACATCAAAAACCCATCAAAACAACTCCTAACATACTCAAACCAAGAAATTGGAACATTAGCAACATTTAGCAACAAAATATAGAGCTTAAAAACATCTCCATTCACCAAAGACCTGACCTCAACTAAATAGCATCAAATTGTTGATCTCCTAGCAGCCCCCCATGTCTCTTACTATTTCGCCATGGTTTTATGGTCATAGGAAAGGCTAAAACAATAAGAAGGACATATCAAGACATATAACCTTCTGAACACAAAGTTAAAGGAACATGAAACAAGGATGCATAGGGAATTAGGGCAGATCACCTAAGTACTGATTGAATCATTGATAATGAACAAAGCAATATAGAAATAAATCTCTCCTATAAAGAACATTCTTTTTAAACAAACACCCATTACATCTATAATATTTCTTACATTATAATATCTGCCAACATTTCTTACATTAACATCTATAATATTTGTTATGCTATAGAGTCTATCAATAGAATAATTAAGCTAATAGACGCAAATGCGTTTTGGCTAACTATCATTCTCTAAGTTATCATATGACTTGTAGCATGTAAGCTTAATAATTTCCTTTAGCAATTGCATTATCAATTTTTATATGTATCATGAAATTAGTACTTTCCTCATAGTAATTTCAATTGGCATTTGAGCTCATATTTGCTTACATGAATTAAGATATTGCAAGATATTTGATAATGTCCATTTAGTAAAAGTTTACTCTCAAATAGGAATTTCCAAATTTCAGAATCTTTAGTATGTAACAATTGAGTCAATTACAATTATTATTAAACAACTAAAAAGGAAAGGGAAAAAAATAAAGCTCTCTATACAAAATATATTAAACTACTATATCTACTTATAGTTCTAACAAATGAGCGAAAGGGATATAGCCTATGATGATTTGTTGAAGGTAAAAAAAGGTTAAATTAATTTTTTTTTAAATTCGAGCCCAAGGTATTTATGATTATAATAATATACCATTATATCTGTGAATTTTAAGGTATATGCAAAATTTCACAAGGTTCAAATCTCTCTAACCCAATTTATTTTATTTCATCAAGTACTATAAATGCACATTATCACTTATACTGATATGAACAGTCTCAAATCTTTTAACTTAATACATAAGCATGATTTGACAAAATCTTGTGGTTAGTTATGCTCAACAGGATCATGACCAAGGATAAAGTTAAAGCTTGGGGGAGAACAGATGATGCACAAGGTAACCTTTGTGGGCTCATAATAAAACTGTTGAGCATTTGTTCTTTAAATGCTTATTTTCAGCTCAAATATGTGATCAAATACTATCCTATATGAGGCTACAAAGAAGACATAAGTCTTGGATTAGATTCCGACATTGGTATAAGACTCTAGAGGGAAGAAAAGGTCTAGGTTCAAGGCATAGAAGAGCTCTGCTTGTAGCAACTATATACTATATTTAGCAGGAACGAAACTGCAGAAAATTTAGAGGCATTAGCAATTCCCTCGCAGGATTACTCAATAAAATTCACAGCTTGATGGCCTGCAAACTTGGTGATTTTAAATGACACTAACTTATATTTGTATATTGTTCTCTCATGCAGCATTGTGATGTTTTTTCTTGTTGTTGGAAGCCTACTTTTATTATACTTTGGAATGCCTAACTACCCTTGTACACCTGATAATCAGTGAAATATTCTTTACCTATGAAAAAAAAAATAATCACTCAATTTGGTACTCAATCGCATGTCGTATTCCTATCTCATACAACTTGGATGAAGTATTGCCTTCTTAGTGATAATGCTTCAGAGTATTATGGATTAGCAAGATGTATTGCTAGCTTGCAACTTTGCAAGAAGCCTTAGAGCTTGAGTAAAATAAAGAATTTTCACTTTCAAATGGCCATGAAAGATTAACATAGAATCACATTGCCATACTAACCTAAAGCCAATGAGTCTTACATTTAAGCAAAATAAAGTTCAGTGGGATAGCAATGCATCTAATCTACGAAGTGTAATTATAAGCAAAAGTAAGAGATATTCTCCTTAATTTTTAAATAGGAGTAAAAATTATGAACGATCATTCTGATATCAAATAGTTACTCAAAGCTAATCATAACACAATCATACAAGTTAAAAAACAAACATTGGTAACGTAAGTCTCACCCTTGATTGATCCACCTCTGGATCTACCAGGGGAACCACTCCTGCAAGTGTTTCAAATGTTGTCCCTGCAACCGTACAAATATGAAAAGTGATCAGTTTGATCAGGCACAACAATAGTTGTACTTAGCAGTTACAACATTAACATGAGATGATTTCCAGCCAATCAAAGTGAAGCAATAATTACAAAAGACGTAAACTGGTAAATGTAGCATCTAGTGTTAAGTTATTTTTAACATAGATACCAAGAAAGATAAAAGATTTCAGTACCAGCAACATAAGTGCTGGATTCAGCACTGCTAGAATCATATCGCCATCTTCCATCACTTTGAGTAAGCGACTGATGAAATAATGGTTTAAGTTATACCTCTTCACTAAATGGAAAAGTAGCAAAAAAGAAAAAGAATACATAGGAGTTGAAAGCTTATCACCTTTATGGAATCAAAAACACTACTGGCATCTGACAGTGACACATCAAAACCTTGATTCTGCATAAGAAAAATGAAAATATGTTTTTTATGTTTATAAAGTTTCAAATAATAACAGAACACATTGAAGATCAAAGAGAAGGCAATTAAGGATGTAACTATATCAATAGAAATAGAAATCGAGCATAATAAACTTGTGTATCAGCTGAAATAATAACAAACAATTTAGTACAAAACAAACAATGCAATGTCTAATTTGATCTCACGGGATATTTTCGGTAAATAGTACGTCATATACAACACATTATACAAAAGAATATATCGAGATCATAAGTAATCACGAGTTCTTCATCAATCTCAGGGCTCCACTCCTCAACATGCAATCTCTCTGCCAAATTCCCCCACTCATAAAACTCAAAGAAAAACAAATAATTTGGAGGCCTTGCATGAGCAATAACCAACTTAGCCAATCAAGGATGATCCACTTCACTTCATGCTAAAAAAAACCAACATCAAAATTATCCATATTGGTCAACATGGGCACTCCCAAAATCTCAACTTTAAGCGAAAACCACCTAAAGGAGTGTAAACTTTCTTACCACCACAATTGAAGTTCTCTGTAGAACTTGTCGAGGTCGTCTGAAGAGGAAAAGACAGGTTTTTTGATGGTGACTCTCCGGCCATCGAGCCTCACGTCGTAGACGGTACTTTCAGAACCTTTTGTTTGGTGAAATCAAAGGAGAGTCTCAGAATGGACTAACAGAAAATTAGAGAAAAGACATAGGGGGTTTGGTGAAATTTTACCTTAAGCGATAGGGGAGAGGACAGAGAAGGAAGAGGGAGGGAGATGGAGGGGGATTGACTTGCTCGAGTAGCTCTCTTCAAACAAAACGGGAGGCACAATTAGTTGAGTCTAGCATACCTGTGCAATTTCCCCACAATTCTCTTCAACAAAAAGAAGATATATGGGTAATTCAATATCAGCAAAAAAATTTTGGGGGAAGAACAATTTCTTTTCTTAGCTAATAAAGATACCTTACTGGTTTTGGCATCAATCTAACATTTAAGAATGTTGTTCAATCTCAATGCATGAAACATATCCTTCATTGTAGAAGAAGACGAACCGAGTTTTTCCACAACAAGCGGGCATGTTGCCAGGCTACTTTCGGAAACCTTTTCAGAGTCCTAGAATCCGAAATGTTCTCACTGTTCCATGCTATATTTAGCCTCTTCATTTCGTAACAAATTTTCCATTAATTCTTAAGTAAAAAAACTCATAACTTGTGACAATTAGTTGGAATTTATTGGGTGTGAAAGCTTTTGATTTTATAACTCATTTTATAAATTCTTAATAATAATGGAAAACACCTCATAAATTTGCCCATTAATTAGATCCAAATTAACTTTGTTATATTTACAAAAGTTGAAGAGCAATTTGGGATAGTGAAAGTTTTTCTAGTACTCCCTCTTTTAAATTAAAGGGTACATGAAATATGTAAATACCCAAAATCAAAGTATTTTAACCACGCGCTTCGCCACTAGCCTCTTTAATAAATGGAGAGAGCTTCCACGTCTAACTTTACTCCTCTCAGCCTATTGCTGACGAAAATGCTCAGCCGTAAACCCCCAAAATTCTCTTTCCCAAAATGCCCCCACCATCCTTCGTCCTCACCACAAACAAAATCCTCTCCCTCGCGCGCTCCGGTCTCATCGCCTCCGCCCGCAGACTGTTCGACGAAATGCCTGAACGAGACACAATCTCATGGAACGCAATGCTCACGGCCTACTGCAACTCAAACCTCCCCGACAAAACTCTCTCCCTTTTCTCCTCCATGATCTCCTCCTCCGCCGCCAAACCCGACCACTTCACCCTCACCGCCGCCCTCTCCGCCGCCTCCGACGCACGTGAACTCCGCACCGGGACCCAGCTCCACTCCTTCTCTCTCCGCTCTGGCTTCAACTCGTTGCCTGTTACCAACTCTATTGTTGATATGTATGGCAAGTGCTCTTGCCCTTGTGACGCCGAAAGGGTATTTGAATCGATGGAGGAGAGGAATGTGGTCTCTTGGTGCTGTCTCATTCATGGTTTTGCTTATTCAGGGATTTTGGAGAAGGCCCATCAACTGTTCGACGAAATGCCGAGTAAGAATACTGTGGCTTGGAATGTTTTGATCATGGGTTGTACACTATGCAATGAGCCGGAGATGTCGATGGGTTTGTTTAGGAAGATGCTGGTTTTGGGTTTTGAAGCTGATGCTTTGACGTTTTCAGGGGTTATGAATGCATGCGCTGAGATTGATAGACCTTGTTTTGGCGAAACGATTCATTCGTTGGTAGTGAAAATTGGATGGATTGATGCTGTTGAGGTTAGTAATTCGATCCTTAGCTTTTATTCCGTATTTGGTTTGAAAAATGACGCTGTTAAGATATTTGAGGCGATGAGAATGCGAAGTCAAGTGTCATGGAATGCGATGATAGATGCGTTCATGAAAGGGGGTGATGTAGATGAAGCTATTTCTTTGTTTAGAAAAGCACCCAAGAAGAGTATTATCTCATGGACATCGATAGTTTCAGGGTTTGCTAGGAACAGGCAAGGAGAGGAGGCTGTAATGGCTTTTGTGAATATGATGAAAAACTACTTCAGACCCGATGATTTTGCATTTGGTGCTGTTCTTCATGCTTGTGCTATTTTGGCAGTCATAGGATATGGCAAAATGATCCATAGCTCTATCATTAAATCGGGTTTTGGTTCATTTGTCTATGTAGAGAATGGTTTACTGAACATGTATGCAAAATGTGGTGATATTGAAGATGCAAACATAGTCTTTAATGGCATCCAGTTGAAGGATGTGGTATCATGGAACATGATGATATTAGGGTTTGCATTGCATGGATGCACATCAAAAGCTTTTGAGATATACAATGAAATGGTAGCTTCTGATGTTGTTCCTGATAAAGTCACATTTTTAGGGTTACTGATGGCTTGTAACCACTCAGGCCTTATTGAAAAGGGGGGAGAGTTCTTTGATGTGATGAAATCAGTTTATGGGATTTCACCTGATATGGACCATTTTACCTGCATTATCGACATGCTTGGGAGATCAGGGCATCTTAAAGATGCTAACAAGTTGATCGAAAAATTTTCAGGCTCGAGTGAGGCTTTACTCAGTGTGTGTACAAATATTGATAATTTTAGGGTTTCAAAGAAAATTGGGGAGGAATTGGTTAGAATTGAACCTGAGAAAGATACAGGCTATGTGATGCTATCGAACTCGTATTGTGCTAGCGGGCAATGGATAGAGGCAGAGAGGGTGAGAAAGGAAATGGTAGAGCAAGGAGTGAAGAAGGCACCTGGTTGCAGTTGGATCGAAGTGAGAGATATAGTGAAGGTTTTTATGTCTGGAAGTAGATCAGTTGTTGATATGTTAGATGTGCATGAGATGTTGTGGTGTTTAGAGTCTGAGATGAGAGATCCTGGTTTCATTTTCTCATAGCGATGGTTAATGATTCTTGTTTCCCTTGGTGTAGACTGTAGAGCATTATTTGGTGTTCAAATGGCAGTTTTGGCAATTAATTCTTATGTAATTATGAAGGATGATAGGTATGTTTTTCAATGGCAAGTTGGCAACAGAGGACAAGTTTTTCTTGCAAAGAGATATGTATACTGTTGAGGGATTTTCTCAATGATCATGAGTGACACAAGAATGTTTAAGGTAACGGCTCGTCTAATGAGATGTAAACAGCTGACTTTGGAGGCTGAAATTGAACTCCGCCAACAAGTGATTTTTCGGCCTCCAACCTCAAAGAAGAAATTGAAAGCATTGATTCAGCAAGTTGATCTCATTAACTGAGGAGGATTGCTGACCTTAATCTCAGAATGTTCTGCAAGAGTACCATGGATAATTAAATTCCCCTTATGTCAATAATAATATTGTTTCTATCTGTTCCAAGATATGATGTATAGAGGGAATAATCTTAGAGTGCCTGCAATGCCTCCCTATCCATCTTCACTGGCAACGAACAATCAGCTATCCAAATTGGAGAATCATATCGCAACATGCATACAATGGTGGGTTTAATATAAGGAATGATTCATGCCCTTAAGCTTGGAGCTTTACGACAAGGCGATACTGGAAATGGACATGAAGTTAGGGTTTTCTTTGTTATATTTCGTCTAACATTTGGTGGATTTGTTTGACGAAGTGAAGGACATTAGATTGGGATCGAAATCTGTGGTGGTTGTGCTCTGCTTTTCTATGGTACATTGTGGTTGAACTATTTGTTCTGTAATATATGTTTATTGACTTAGGGGACGCTTGGTAGCTTGCAACTATTGACTTAGGGGGCGCTTGGTAGCTTGCAACTATAGTTGCAATGCAAGTGTTACTTGCATGGAACTGATGCATTGCAACTATTCTTGAATGCAACTACAGTTGCAATTGTTTGGTTTAAATTTTAACTTTTACAACTTGCAGTTGTAGCTATTTGATTATGCCTACAACTTTACGTATGTAACTTGCTTTTTTGCTTTTAATAAATTGATAAAATTATTAAATTTTTTAAAACTTCTAAACTATTTTTTATTTAAAAATAGTGATTTTTAATTTAAGAAAATTGATTTTTAAAATTTGCTAAAGAATAATTTTCATAAGATAATATTTTATTAAACAATACTACTTTCATAAAATAATTTTTTTGGTTAACATATACTTATCGCAATTTTTTTGAAATAAAACATTTTTCTAAACAAATATTATTTGAAAAAATAATTTTTGAAAATAATATGTTAACAAAAATAATATTATTTATGGAAAAAATTAACTTTTCAATAAAATAATATTTTAACAAGAAAATAATATTCTTTTAGAAAAATAAAAATTTTCAAAATATAATATTTAAAAAAATAATATTTTTTCAAAAAATTATTTTTTTTAAAAAGTATTTTTTAAAAAAAAATAATTATCTTATAAAATATTTTAGAAAAATTGTTCAAAATTTTTTGGTAAAATATTTTAAATAATTATCTTATAAAATATTTTAGAAAAATTGTTCAAAATTTTTTGGTAAAATATTTTAAAATAACTTTAATTTGGAAAAAAAAAATTTTTTTAAAGAAATTATATTAATACTTTTTAAATAATTGTAAATCTTAAATGAATTTCTTAGGATTTTTATAAGGTTGCAGCTGTAACTTGCGGTCATTTCGGACGTAAGTCATATGTTGCAATTAATGGGCGTTTCGTAACTATAGTTGCAAACGTAGCAATGAGTTACAACTAAACAAACACTTACAACTGGACAAAATTGACCTATTACATGCAACTGGAGTTGCAACCACTCTAGTCGCAATCTAGCAAACGCCGCCTTAGTGGTGTGACTTTCAGTATAGTCTCGGACTCTTATTAAAACCTTTTGCTTTAAGTTTGTGAAAATGGCATGCATGTTATTACCCTTTGGGGTGTTAGTCAGCTAGAACATTTTTGATAGAAGTGGAACAATTTTTATTATGAGATAATTTTTTATTGTGGGATATTTTAATGGGGTAATTGGGAGTGATATTTTAAAACATGATATTTTAGTGGGACAATTGTTAGTATAATTAAGGATAATTTTTAGAAATCAATAAGCATATAAGTCATGTATTTTGATGATCATACTACTGTTTATACATTTTAAAACTTATTATTTTTATTATTATTATTTTAGTGTTAATTAATCTTGAAGAACTATTAGATAGACTAGAAGATTAACTTTTTAATTTTTTTTGGAATATTTATTGTAATATAAATTTAAAAAATATTTTTTCCTTTTTTCCTCTTTCTTTTTTGATCTACCAGACATCATTCCATCATCTCTCAATTTTAATTAATTTTTAATAAAACATAAATTTTGTAATTTTTAAATTTAAATTAATTATACAATTCAAATATTTAATAAAAAGTAAAAAATAACATTAAATAGAAGGGAAGGATAATAAGAGATGTGATCTAATTCTATGGTGTGGTTTGAAGATGACGGAGAAATGAAATATGAAAAATAAAAAAGTAAATAATAAATTTTTAGTTTTTTACCATGTAGTTCTACCTTAAAACTTGGGGCAATTTGAGAGACTAGAACTCTCTCTTTTCTATATAAAATTTGACAAAAGTGGGATAAATTTTACAATTATCTCAGTTCTACTTTTTATCCAGTTTTGTTGACTAACATTGTATAATTTTATCCTAGTTTTAGTTTCAATGGACTAACACTATAAAATATTGTCCCACAAATTATCCCTGTTCTAATTTTGAGTTCTACTTGACTAACGTGCTTTATTTTTAGATGTTTGCTTATCCTTTCTATATAGCTATTCCTGATTCGAGACTATATCTTTAGAATTGTGGAGATGTGGATAGATATGGGAGTTGGTCACCTTATTTCAGCAAATGAAAAACATATCTGCATATTCTGTGAGATTTGGGCATTTTTTATTAATATTCTCTAGCTATGCCAAATACTAGCTTTTGATGTGCTCATGTTCATGAGTTTTTCTACGAACAATACACACACACATACATATATGTATGTGTATATATACACATACATATATGTATGTGTGTGTGTATATATGTATATGTGAACAGTAATCATCTTTAGCTTGAACTATATTTCCTTAGACAATCATATATCAACATAAATCTCCAAGATAACATAATAGCAATGCTGGGCCAACAAGAAATATGTGGCTATATGTGCACACTCATTTTTAGGATAATTGCTGGTAATTTACTTATAATTAATGTACAAAAATTGTTGCGCCACCTGTTAATATTGTTAAACACAATTTTCCTTCTTGATCAACCAAGTTATCATGGGTCATCTAGATTCGTTGGTATGGCTCTGATTCCTTCTCATATGCTATTTCGCAAATTTTTAAATCATTTCAGATTTAGTAATATTTCAAATACATGAAGGAGTGCATGAATTTATGCTAACTGGACCGTCAAGTTCTCCATGTAGATTGAAACTTCTGATACTCAGGAGGACATGATATTTTATGGTATGGGGAAAAAGCTGCGGGCTTCGCAGGTATTCAAAATGAATGGATTTATACTGAGTGATGCCCCCAGATGTTGAACTGCAATAGGTAAGTAAACGTTTGGAAATTGTTTCGATACATATGAACCCTTTATATGATTTTGAGGACAGTTTCAGGCCCTCAGTGATGGATATGCCCTTTAGACTGATTGTTTTGAACTTACTAACATTCTAGTTTTTTTCCATGCCTCATTGCAAATTATATATACTTTTTCCTTCAGATAGCAATACTCGTTATGGTTACATTTAACTGGCTTATTAATCACATAACTAAAAGTGATTAGTTATATAAACCTTTGTTGAAATTTCTATCTTACTTGATATCTAATTTTTTTCATGTCCCTCTTTCTTGATCTCTGCCTTTCTTCTCAGGTGTTTGCTAGATTGATAAGTGCTAATTGCTTTGTTAGGGTTTCCAGATCCTGATGTTTTAGTCTTTATGGAGCTTGTAGTAGGAGAAATGATAGTTTTATTCTTTCTATTATGGGAACTAGGGGTGCACAATCGTATCTGTATCTGCAGAAATATCTGTAACCGCGTTCGTTAGGACATGGATATAGTAACTAAAATCTATAACTGATAGGGTATAATTACGGATATGATTATGCAGTGAAATATCCGGATCCGTATCAGAAATGTCGATCATACAATTGCAATTGTTTTAATACTTAGATTAATTGATTTGAGACTAATTTTAATGATTAAGAGATCTAATCTTAGCTTTTCAAATACAATGAACAGATACTTATGAACTCTCTTGTATCATAATAACTATATATATTTTTTCTATATTATGTAGTTTTCTCATGTCCATTGCGTATCTGCATGTATATTCCATATTCGTATCCCACTTCAGCGGATATGAATGTGAGTTTTCCTAATCAAAGCATATTTGTATCCATGCTTGGTAAGCGAATATGGATATGGTTGTAGAATGTAAAAATGTTGAACCGTCAAGCAAGTGCCCTATAACGCCACTAAGAGGCTCGTGAGGGTATTAATGGTCATTCCAAAGTGACAAGGTTTTAATATGACAAAATGGACTTAAAAGGAGCTAAGGATGCAAAGTCATGAAGCCTAGACGTAAGCAAAGTGAGAATCGGCTTAAAACTCATCCGAAAATAGACCAAGACATGTTTACACAGTGTTAAGAACCCGTGTTGCTAAGGTCACATAATGCTTGGGCTTATGTGGTGCTAAGATATACATAGTGCTAAACTTACGTGACTAACCCGCGTAAAATAAACGGCGTGTAAACTTTTCGTTGAACTGACAATCGAGCTGGTAGAAAGAACAATAGCAAAGCAGAGGTGTTTGAGTGCTATAAGACAACTTATGCAGCAATGTTTTAAAAAGCATCTGATTAGCCCGTCTAGACGTACGTCTAGGCCTAGGTAGTATCTAGGCTGCCTACCTAGCGCCTAGCGCGGTACCTAGGCTGCCCACCTAGGGAGCGCTTAAGAGTGTGGACTGATTATGTGGACTACACCCTTTACTAATAATTTTCTCCATTGTAGCTTCCACGTCCTCCAACCTTTTCCAAACTCCTCTAGGCTTCAACTATAAACACCTCCTCTCCTCCACTACAACTTAAATGAAAAAAGAAATCCCTCTAGGTGTCAATTCAGCACATAAGCTTTGTATAATGTTGGCATTTAGTATAAATAATTATAATTAAAAAATAAAAAAAATAAGAAAACCGCCCCCGCCTAGGCTCCCGCCTAGACGCTAGGCGTCGGGTCAAACACCTAGGCTACCTAGCACTTTCTAATACCTAGCCATGCACAAAGTTTATGCGAGGCTACAAAA